TTTGGCAGAACTTCGTTATATGATAAAAGAAAACTTCTGACCAAAATTCGTCCAAATCGAAAGGGGTCGATTCCAACTATTGGTCGATTTGACATGGAATGACCCATATATCTTGAATATATCTAAAATATATATGAAAATCGGCCAAAAGTTAGTTGTTAAGAATATATTATTTACTATACATATTTTTTATATATTTCAACATATATTTTTTTTTTTTTTCATGGGGGTTACCAAATATGGGTGAATAAATCATTACAATTTTTCTACCTGAGATGGTATTAATTAAAAGCTTAACACGCTAAACTATAGGATTTACCTGAAGCACATCGAAATTTTGACTCTTGAATAAATCCGACCTTACACTGACATTTTTGATTGACACAAATCGAATTATATACTTCGCATTCTTCATTTTGAATACAGAAACCGTTCAATAATGATCCACACGTGGTATCATCGATTGCATAATGGTTGTTTTTACAAACACACAAATAGTCTTCGGAACATTTTGCGTATCTGATATCTTCGCAATCTGCATTAACTTTACAATGCTGTCCCAAAAGTTCTGAAATGAAAATTATGCACGATAATTGTCGCAGTTAATAATAAAACTCAAGTAGAGTATTTTTACCAACTTCGTACGCAGTGATTACTAGATCGAAGCTCAAAATGTTCTTTACATCGACATCTATCACCTACACAATTAGTGTTATCAGGTATACAATCTTCGTGACGCCAACAATATCCACCCACTAACGGCACACATACTGCGTCTTCAGATGGAGTATGATTTTCTTTACAAACACATTTTTTATCTTCAGAACATATTGCTCGATTAGTATCAATACAATCTTCATTTTTGTTGCAAGTCTGTCCTAAATAAGCTGAAATTTAGGTTGAATTAATTATCAAATTTGCTGTTTTCAAATTCTAAAACGTAGATGACAATTTAGCTTACATAATTTACATTCACGATTAGATACAGCTATAAACATGTAATCGCAAGCACAATAATTATTTTGACAAACGGAATTTAAAGGAACGCAATCAGAATCTTTGGAACAATAACCTTCTATTAACGATAAACAAATATCATTATCAATTCTTGCAAAACTATTTTCTCTGCATGTACATTTGTGGTCATCTGAACAGGCTGCTCGGTTAACATCGAAACAATCTTGATCGGAGTTGCAAAATCGCCCGGTGTAAGCTAATAATTTCCAAAAATTTTTATTAAAAAAAATAATTACATCGATTTTGTAAAATATTAATAATAGAAAATATTAAATATAAAATATAGACTAACTTGGAGCGCATTTCTTATCTGTAACAAAGGTGAAACCGGGCTTACAAACGCATGCTTTATTCACGCAATGCGAATTCTCGGCAACACATTGCTCATCAACTTCACAGCCACCGTTTATTAATGATCCGCATGCTGTGGCATTTAATGGCGTATAATTTTCAGTGCAAACGCATTTATTTTCAGAACAAATCGTGTTGTGTACCAAGTTGCAATCTATGTCATTCTCACAATAGTCTTGTAATGTACCTAAAATAAATGATGATCAAGCAACGAATGAATTTAAGAAAAAATTAATAAGTATGAGGCGATATTATTTTACCAACGTACCATTGCCTAAACAGTAATACTGATTTGGCCAATCATACAAATCACATATGGTAAAATTTTCACAGCATGGATTTTCAAGATCGGGGTTACACTATAAAATTTTTATTTATGATAGTAATTATTATTAAAGATACTTACAAGCCATGGTGTCTTATGGAAATTAATACTTACAAGAAATCCATGATCAACGCATTCTGTTACCTCGAAAAAATCATAAGTCTCCAAATCGTCGTCAGCAAATATTGGAGTTGAAGCCAAAATTCCAAAAATTATTGGAAATATCAAACACTTCATACTTACCATCTTGGTTTTTAATTATCAAAAACCAAATCGGCAAATATTTGAATAATAATAGGAGAAAAAATATATTTATTAAAAATATTTAATTATTGATTGTATCTTGATACTGTTTCGAAGAACTGACCATACAGTAAATGATATATTTCATCGAAAGTTATCACGTTATCAGGTATTATATACTAATGTGAATTTTATTGGTTAAAGTTATTTTTTTTATAAGGTCGAAAAAAATAAAGCAGGAAAAAATATTTATTACTAATGTTACATAATAAGATTGAATTATATAAAGAAACTCTTTACAGCAGATTGATATTCATATATTTTTATATTAAATTAATAAATGTTATAATGCACATCAAAATTTAATTTATATTTTTAAAAAATATTATTTATTACATTTTAACTGCTCGAAATCTACGCAAACGATGTCAATTTAGATTTATCAAAACTATTTATAGTATTAATATATTTTTTATTATATCTAATCAATAATTGGAACAGTGATTAATATGATTGAAAAAAAAATAAAATTATTTTTTTTACATCTCTTCAAAAGTAATTTGTTCATTTTTTTTTCTCAATATTTTTTTATTTACTGAAATCGACTTCTGGAAAGTAAAAAAATTTTATCAAAAAGCCTAATACAGTACATTTTCCATGTAAAGACACTTGTAAGGATTAATTTTTATAACAATATCGCACACCGGATACAATCGCCGTGGGCTGTAACTAGTTATGTCTGACACACCTGTTAAAAATGTATTGCTCAAAGAAAAGAGCTTCATTAATGATAAACCTGTCTCTTAACGGCTACCTGATCTCTGAAATGCATTTGCCTAATAAGTTATTGCCCAGGCGTGGCTGGAACGTACTGGTATATTAATCATTAACAAAAGCATCAGATAATTCCAAAAAAAATTAAAATTTTGACCCTAGAACGCATTAAAAGCTCTCAGATTTGTCAATTTAAAAAAAATTTTCCACGTTTTAAAATTTCTTAATTAATTTTATAAAATTCAGTGTTTTTATCAAAAATGCGGAAAAACAATTCCAAAAAATTATCCTAATAATTTTGATTTTAATAAAAAATGCAAAAATTGTAAATTCAATATTTTGCAACCCTGCGCAGCACTTACTCAAGTGATTCGATAAATAACAAATTAACAATGATACAATTCATGACGTCGATTTACAATTGACTGGATAAACTCTGGAGAAGCGAAAGAGACACTTGGCTGCAGAACGATCAAGGCCTTTTGGCCCCGTAGATCATGAGAAACTCGAGAACTCTGCCCGGTATAAAACGCCCCTCCTGTTCATTCCTGGTGCATTATTGTTGTTCCTCCTCTTGTCGAGCGTCTCGATTAGATATTAGACATATCAAAATGCATCTTGTTTTCGTAAGTTTCATTTGTAGTAAAAAAATTAGGCGATTTAATTTTATAAAATAGTGAGCTTGATAAAATAAAATAAAAATGTTTGTAGATATTAGGTTTAGTCGGTTCTTCAATAGCTCAAGATTTACGGCAACCTGCGATTGTATCCGAGGCGAGGTATCTTTCTGGTGATGGTACATTTGGTGCAGCTTATACGCAGGATGACGGTGTGCAGTTTAAAGAGGAAAGTGACGCTAATGGTGATCGTAAAGGTTCTTATTCTTACATAGATCCGAATGGACAAAGAAGAACTGTTTATTATACTGCTGGAAAAAATGGCTTTCAGGTAAGTTATTTATTTTATTAATTAAATTATAGTTTCTGTTTATATAAAAATAGTTTTCTGCCCTCCGGCCGGAAAGTGGCAACTTTCTGGCCGCTGCGCTAAACAAAGTTGCCACATTCCGGCTACGTCGAGCAGAAAAATAGTATACACACCTTGGCCAGTAAAAAGTAAAGCCTCAGACCACATGTTTGTCAACCTCGGCTTCGCCTCGGCCAACAATTACATGTGGTCTGAGACTTTTCTTATTTTACTGGCCTAGGTATGTAATATACTATTCTACAGTTTTTAATGTAATTTTACAGTTTGTAGGAATTTAATTTAAAAATTGTAATTTTTTCATTTTTATACTTACAGTATTTACTTTGATTGTAATTTTTTATCTCATTTTTTTCCGTGTTGAAATTATTTAAATAAAAAATAAAAAATAAATAAAACCGACAATTTTTTTCCAATAATTTATTTATATTAAATTTTTGTAACTAAGATAATTTCATATTTTTATAAATTTATTAATTTTTTCTAATTTATTCAGATCGAATAAAAACATTATTTTTTAAACGAAAATTATAATTTTCAAATGAATTTAAATTTCAAAAAAAAAAAGAACTTTTTTAAAAATATAATTTTAACTTAAATTTAGTAAAACTTTATTATCTTTTTAAAAATGTCATTATTTTGTATTAAAACCAATAATTCCAATAATAACTTTTACAAAAAATCAAAATCAATTTAATTTAAAAATTGTAATTTTTTAATTTTTATACTGACAGTATTTACTTTAATAGTAATTTTTTATCTCATATTTTTTAAAATTATTTAAATAAAAATTAAATAAAACCGATAATTTTTTTCTAATAATTTTTTTGTATTAAATTTTTGTAATTAAGAAAATTTTATATTTTTAAAAATTCATTTATTTGGATCGAATAAAAAAATTATTTTTTTAACCAAAAAAATTTTATAGTCTCCTATTTTAATTTTAAAATTAATTTAAATTTAAAAAAAAAAAGAACTTTGTTAAAAATATAACTTTTAACTTAAATTTATTAAAACTTTATTTTCTTTTAAAAAATGACATTACTCTGTATTAAAACAATTAATTCCAATAAAAAATAACTTTTACAAAAAATCAAAATCAATATTCAGGCAAGCGGAGACGGTATCCCCGAAATAACACCGCCAACACCCGAATACGAGGCTCTACCAGAGTACAACCCCCCGGACTACCAGCCACCACAGCCTCGATCGTACAAATTCCAAAGCGACCCAGACATCAGACAACTCGTCTACGAATCGGCCTCTCCTGCTTCACACCCACCCCCAACACCTCCTCCCCGTCCTCGCCAACACTTCCACCCCCAGCCCCACCCGCAACCGCGACCCGTCCGCCCGCGAATAGTCTTCCAGCCCCAATATCAATCGGAATACTCGCCTGTGACTCCACCACCAGAGGTCCACGAGTACCAGTACGAACCCCGTCCAACTCCAGCTTACAAGCCGCGATTGCAGATTCGGTACACCCCCGAGCAGCCTCGACAGCCTCTTCAGCCTCTTCAGCCTCTTCAGCACCAGCCCCAACTTCATTACAATCCTCCAAGACAACCTTCTCCGCGATTCCAGCCAGAGCTCGAGTCAGAGCCAGAGTACAACGAACCGGAGCCTCAGTATCAACAAACAGAGCCGCAGTACCAGCGACCTGATACTCTCCGACCTTATGTCGAGTACTCTTTTCAAACGGCAACAAATCCAGCGCCTCGACCTCGCTACAATGCGATCACGACTCCTGCGCCTCGGAGATTTTATCCGCCAGGTAAATTAGATTTTACCAGAACTTCTGATGGCTTCTCTTATACTTTTAATAAGAGTTAAATTTTCAATTAATTTTTTTTTTAACATTCTGATACACAGTAAAAAATTTTGCGTCAAAAAAATTAGTGATAAAAATTTTTGTGTTAAATATTTAACACTTTTATGTGTAAATTTAATATTTATTCTGTTAAATCAACACAAAAAAGTGTTAAATATTTAACATAAAAATTTTTTGACGCAATTACGCCAAATTTTTCACTGTGTAGATTAATTTAAATTTATTAAAAAAATAGACAAAAATTTTTTGATGAATTTGGAATGTTTTTTTTTATTAATAATTTCTTCTGTCAGTATGGCGCTTATATTTTTATTTAAATATTTATATTTATAAAAAATAAATAAATAATTTTCATGTATTTATATATTGATTTTGTAACGACAAATACTTGTAATAATAATAAAAATATTATATTGAAAATAAAAATGTATCGATACAATGTAAAGGTCGACGAGTTTATTTAAATTGCGAAAAGTGTAAGAATAAAAGCCGACGTTAAATAACTTCCGTGCGTACTAGTTAAGTACGCGAATAATATATTTAATATATTCAAGGAATTAAGTGATAGTGATAATGATAATTATATATTCTAATGACGAGAAAGTATGCATACTTATGGAGTACCGGTATAAAAATGAATTATTTATTAAATTAATAATCATATTAACAATTGTCGTGAAATCATTTGACTACGCCCTGAAATAAAATGCTAGTAGAAATACAGGCAGTAAGCAATACTTGCAGTAATCCTCAGTAAAGGCTGGTGTCTTAAGTTCAATTCACATCACTTTACTTTACTTTCATCTTTTAACCTTTGAGACTCTCCCTTTGCGATGATGCAACAGACTCCGAATCGGTCGGTTAGCAGCCCACGTTCTATGTCAATTCGCGGATTTTAATTTAACAGCGATCTATAGAAGAATTGGATATGGAAATCCAAATGGCAATTCTATGAGTTCAATACCCGGTTGTTGGTTTCAATCTACTCTATCATTAATCTGTCGTATATAATTATAGTAATTGAAATAACGGCGTTTATAAGTCTTTTATTTATTTATAGATCATATTAACTTTTTATTTACCACTCAAGTAATTATTACTTTCATGGTTTTAGAAAACTATTTTTAATCTTTCAAGTCCCCATCAGCCTTTCGTAAGAATTTATATTAAAAATATTAACTGATGATTATTATTAAATTTTTACTTTCTTTCTTTATAATTTACAGAATTAAGCTTGAGCCGGCAAAAATTTTTTGATTATCTTTTGAAGTTTCGAATCTCAAAATTAAATAAAAATTTCATATTATCTGTAATTAATTTTTGAACTTGTAAAAATTTATAAATTTGGAACTTTTAAAATTTTGATTTTTTCTGATCATAAAATCGTCAAAAATTCAATTTTCTCAAAATTTAATCTATATTATTAGGAAAATAAGCAAAATTTTGCATTGACTCATTTTTATATTTTAATGAGTCAGTTTTCTGTATTTATGATATTATGCGAAATATTATGCTGATTACGCTAATCTATATTATTAAGAGAGCAAGCAAAAATTTTATGGTCAGTGAATTTATATGATAAAATAGGTTTTTATGGTTAAATTTGATATCGTTGGGAAAGTTTTGACCTGGAGTTGTGCCTTTTCATGGTTTCATATCATTCTCACCGACAGTCAATTTATGATGATAAATATTTAGGCTGCATTCGAAAATGCTCTATCCCTAGGTACGTAATTAAGAAATGACCCTGTATCTCGTGAACTATTGACATTTTTAAAGATATAAGCTCATCCCGATGTTACATTCATCAAGACCTTTCATTTGAGTACCCATATCAATTTTTCATATATTTATATATATTATATATATGTATACATGAAAAATATATAAAAATGCATGTGGGTACTCAATTGAAAGCTCTTGATGAGTGTAACATCGGGATGAGCTTATATCTTTAAAAACCTCAATAGTTAAGAAAGTACAAAGCAATTTTAAGAAATGACCGTATATCTCACGAACTATTGACATTTTTAAAGATATAAGCTCATCCCGATGTTACACTCATCAAGACCTTTCATTTGAGTACCCACATCAATTTTTCATATATTTATACGTATTATATATATGTATTTATGAAAAATATATAAAAATGCATGTGGGTACTCAAATGAAAGCCCTTGATGAGTGTAACATCGGGATGAGTTTATATCTTTAAAAATGTCAATAGTTAAAAAAGTACAGTGCAATTTAACAAAAGTCATTATTTAATAAAGCAAAATTTTATTTATTTATAGTTCACAATTCACGGCAGTCACATAATGATTTTTTAGCAAAATTAAAAAAATTTTTTCAATTAAAAAAATAAATGACAAATATTTTGAATGTTATTTATTTATATAAAGATATTATGAGTATACAGTTGCATTATAATGATTATGGCAGTAATATACTGACTCTTAGCTTACAATAAGTGACATCAACAGTATAAAAGTAGATAAAAACAGCTGCTAGAGGCGATGGCATTTTAATACACATTTCTTAACAAAAATAAACTTAAACAAAATAAAATAATAAAAAATTAATAACTAAAAATAATAATAATAATGCTTTTATGAAACAATATATTTATATTAACCTTAAGTCTATCTATCTTTCTACTTAATAATTATATTGATAATAAATGCGTGCCAGTGTGCCTCCTTTTCACATTACAGTTAAGTCTAAGACACCTAAATTATTTAAACAATAGTAATAATAATAAATTCACATTACGTAGTTCCAAATACAAGGCACTATGCGTCTATTAAACCAGTTTGTCGATTATTATTTATATTTAACTTTTTTTATATATCGTTGCATATTGTTCACTATTCACACGCTAGTAATTACTATTTATTTTATAATTTATCATTTATCATTAATTTGTATCTTCCTTTCAGTAATTATTATCATATTCATATCAATATCCATATAAAAGATTATCGAAGCGCAGAGAAGTTTCATTTAATTATTATTTAATTGCACTGTAATTTTATTTTCACTCAACCGAAAAATTTTTTACGTCACCTTGTCTATTATTTTTAAAAAAATCAAATACAAAATTAACAATTTTTTTTTAAATTTATCTTAGTAAAAAAAAAAGTACTTTATAAACTAAGAGCTTACTTGATAAAATCACTGAAAAAATATAAAAGTATCATTATCATCATTAATAACCAATTTTTAAATTTACATTAAAAATATGTTAAGCTAAAAAAATTTTCACTATTTTTCTCTAAACGTTTTACCAACAAGTTACATATGTACAACCACTCAAACATTTTTGTTCATCAAAAAACTTTCATTCTATTTTAAATTTAACGTGAAATATTATAATGAATAATAAACAAACAAATTAACTCTTAATTAACTATTTAAAAATAAAATGGCTAAAGTCTAGTAGCAATCAGTCGTTGGCCAGTCCAAATAAAGTGGAAAATTAATAGTGTTTGCGTAGGAGGCACGGCAACTTTTGCATACTCATTTTTCAATTAAATTCTTATTCTTTTACTCTACATATCGAATAAAATTAAAGTAATTATTTTAATTTTATGTTTATATTTACGAAGACGTAAAGGAAGAAAGCGATGTTTTAAGCAAATTTAACTTTTTTTTTTTTTTTAAGCAAATATAATTAAAGATAAAATTAATACATCGCATTATAATTTACTGTGGAAGCCTATTGACTTTCAATTGTATTATAAATAATGACATAAGTGTACGAAAATATTTTTTTTTTTTCAAAAATTTAATAAATACCTCGATAATTTAAATTTTTTAATTATAATATAATTGATACAAGAGGTAGTAACAGTTGCTTTTTATTAGTCCGTATTAAACAAACATTAAGTTGATTAAAAATAAAAAATTTTTTATCTGATCTAATTTTAAAAATTATTTTTTTCACCTTTGAATTAAGATAAAATTTTTTTTCAGTGCGGATATTATCAACAACAATGACGACTATGATAAATATTAAATATATTTAAATTATCGTGATATTTAAATTATTCATTTGAAAATAAAAGTAATTTTTAAACCGTACACTAGTGTATCTTATTAATAAAACATGAAATAAAAAAACGAATGTTAATTAAAACTTAGATACCGACTTGACAGTTAAAAAAACGTCATACAATATTTATCCGCAGAATACTTAAAAATTGCGATAAAAATATCAAGTGGTACGTAATTAGCACCCACTTTATCAACAATATTTAGCCAATGCATTTACATGCTAGGAAAATCAATAAAAAAAAAAAGAATTATAAAAAAAATATATCTAAAAATACGATCACAAAACGCACGGTGATGCAGCCGTAATTACAATATGTGGATTAATAATTATAATTATTATTAAAAATGTTATTTGTTCTTTTTATACTACAGTAAGACACGTGTCGACGTTGCTTTACGATAGAGGAAAATTTTAGCTGCACAAAGTAGGATCAACCATTCCGCGAGCTATCATTTCAGCAGTGGCCGGGTCCTGTTTAATCTGATTTTGCAGTGTTTGTTGTGAGGGAGGAAAATGGGTCCGTATGTGGAACATAAACTCCTCCTTGTCGGGGAAGTCTATGCGACACATTAAACAGTAATTAACTCCCGTGGTGTAGGTCTGTGGTGGAGGCGCCGAATTTGGGAAGTATGCTGCTGCATGTTGAATTTGGGTTGGGGCGTCGACTAAATGTGATCTGAAAATGAACAAAAAAAATTATATCAATTATCCAATAATTATCATATATCTTCTTTCTCGATTTTTTTTTTTACAACTAAATTTGTTTTAATTCTTTGCCAAACTTAAAAATTAAAATATTAAATTATTCCTAATCTTTTCTTCTATTGACAAAAAAATGAAAAAAATTCCTTGCTAAAAAATGAATAAAAAAAAACTTTTTAAAAGTTTCCGCAACAAGCAAAGCGTGTCTGCTAATGCACGAGCACCAAAAACCTTATCCGTTCAGTTTATGCATAAATTAGCAACCTTGCACAGTCACTATATGACTGCCCGTGACTTGTAAACTATAAATAAATAAAATTTTACTTTATAAAATGCTTTATTAAATTAATGACTTTTGTTAAATTGCACTGTACTTTCTTTGATATTGACGTTTTTAAAGATATAAACTCATCCCGATATTATACTCATAAAGAGCTTTCATTTGAGTACCCAGATGTATTTTGATGTATTTTTCATATATACATATATATAATACATATAAATATATGAAAAATTGATGTGGGTACTCAAATGAAAGGTTTCAATGAGTGTAACATCGGGATGAGCTTGTATCTTTAAAAATGTCAATAATTCACAAGGTATCTGTTAAATTGCACTGTACTTTCTTAACTATTGACATTTTTAAAGATATAAGGTCATCTCGATGTTGCACTCATCAAGAGCTTTCATTTGAGTACCAACATGCATTTTTGATATATTTTTCATATATACATATATATAATATATATAAATATATGAAATATTGATGTGGGTACTCTAATGAAAGGTCTTGGTGAGTGTAACATCGGGATGAGCTTATATCTTTAAAAATGTCTGTAGTTCACGAGATACAGGGTCATTTCTTAATTATGTATCCAGAGATAGAGCATTTTCGAATGCAGCCTAAATATTTGTCATAATAAATTGACTATGGGCGAGAATGATATGAAACTTTGAAAAGGCACAACTCCAGGTCAAGATTTTTCCAACGATACCAAATTTAACCATAAAACCCTATTTTATAATATAAATAAACTGGCCATAAAATTTTTGCTTGCTCTCTTAATAATATAGATTAGCGTAATCAGCATAATATTTCGCATAATATCATAAATACAGAAAACTGACTCATTAAAATATAAAAATGAGTCAATGCAAATATTTACTAATGTAAGATATTTTTTGTTAGTGATATTTTTTAATAATTTGGCTTTGAAATAATTATGAATTAAAAAAAAAATTACCTCGCATGCTGCGTCCATTCTTCTCTGACAGTAAACACTCTACTGCAAATTTCGCAAACGTAAGTAAGAGGTTCTTCTTTCAATTTATGAACAGAAACTTCTCTACGTAATTGTTGTTGTTGCTGTTGCTGTTGTTGCTGTTGCTGTTGTTGCTGCTGTTGCTGTTGTTGTTGTTGTTGTTGTTGTTGCTGCTGCTGCTGTTGCTGTTGTTGTTGCTGCTGTTGCTGTTGGTCGGTATTAGGAGCAGTAGGCGTTGATAATGGAGTGACTCCCGGTCTGTGTCGCAGTTTATTCATGTGAATTACAAGTTTATCACGTCGAGCAAACGCTTTGCCTGAAAGGTACAACAAATTAACAAAAAAATTTAACGCTTGATTATTATAATCAATCATTAAATAAACCGTTAAGTTAAATGAAGCGTAATTGAATGGATAAAAGTATTTAAAAATAAAAACTTACCACAAACTTCACACGAGTAGGGTTTTTCGCCAGTATGGATACGCATGTGTATAACAAGTTTATCCTTGCGAGCTAAACCTTTACCACAGACTGTGCAAGCGAATGCTTTGGTTGTTGGCTCCCCAGTGTTTGTTGCCTTCGATACAGAACCAGGACGAACACCGCCTACATTATTTGTCGTTCTTAATGGCTGGTTTATTGTCGCGCCTCGATTATTTGAGAATTGCTGATCTGTGGTACCTGGAAACACTGACATCACTCCGCTTGGTCGGGCCATCGCTGCTGAATAATCTGGAGACCTTTATAAATTTGAATTTCATTTATTAAAAAATTTTAAAGTCCAATTAAATTCGCATGCTAATTAGCAAAAATATCTTAATTTTTTCAAAATTTTGTAGATAGCACATTTATGTTTACACAGAAAGAAAAATTTCTTGACTGGAGAACAAAGTTCTTGGCTCAAGAAAATTTTCGGGCGCCTGAAGGAAGACCGAAGTTGTGTTGGCCGAAGTAAAAATTTTTCTTGAAATTCTATTCTTGGTGGAAGTCATTTTTTCTTAATTCAAATTATCATAAATACTTGATACAATAAATTTTTATATTTGATCAAGATTTTTAGATACTTTAGGGAAGCAGCGCCACCTACTTCAGCTGAGAAAATAATTTTCTCACCTCGAGAAAATTTTTCTCTTAAATATTTGATACCCATTTTTATTATTTTAGCGTGCAATTATACAATTTGAATGAAAAAAAAATGATTCAATATTATTTGATCTTCCCATTTGACTTGTTAATCAATAAAAATATTTATGAAAATTTACTTCTATCTTTATATTGAATTTTTTGGAGCAAGAGGCTGAATTTTCTCAAAACAACAAGATTTTCTTGACTTAAATAAATTTTCTTGGATCAAAATACGTATTTCTTAAAGTAAGAGAATTAATTTTGTTGGAATAAGTGAAATTTCTTGTGTCAAAAAAAAATTTTTTTTTCGCTCAAGAAAATAATAAGTAGAAAAATATTTTCTTGGCTCAAGTGAACCTTTTTTTCTGGACAGGTTAAAAAATGCTTGCTTACTGAAATTGAATTGTCAAAAAATTTTTTCAACAATGGTCAAGATGTTATTGCTTATTAATGTCAATTTATTATTGATAGAAAAATTGTAGCGACGTACCACGTGCCAATCGACCGGAGAACTCGGTGACCATCGTCGTAACCCAGGCCATCATCCGGCAACGTGAAAGTAGGATTAAGTGGCTGGGGTGCTGACGGGAGTCCTGGACCAGAGAGTCTCGCTTGAGCTACTTGCTGAGCCATGTGTTGTTGCAGTGTCGCATGCGCTGCTGCATGTGCTTCCACGTATGACGGACGTTGCTGTTGCTGCTGCCCGCTTGTCGACATTTTGTCTTTATCGTTCTGTTAATTATTATTGTTATTATTTTTTTTTCTTTTTTACTTAGAGTAAATTAAAGAACACTTTGTCTAATCCAAAATTCAATTTTTTTTTCATAGACTTTTTTATTTTTTTTGGTATTTATAATTTAATTACTACAAGAGAAAATTTTTTTAATTTCTCATTTTTCATTTGATTTATTTAATTATTCGTTAAAAAATGAAATGAAATTAATTTTTTCTTTAAAAAATGAAATTAAATTAATTTTATCTTTAAAAAATGTTATTAAGTTCATTTTTTTGTTAAAAAATAAAATTGAAAATATTCAGAGTCATAATTAAATAAAAATCTCTAATAAAATAAAATTATGATAATAAAAAATCATCACAAATTTCTTAAAAAAATCATGAAAAAAAAATTGAACCTTTTATCGTCCAAAGTCTCTTAGAATTTATTTATTCCCCGAAGCAATTTAAAACTGCGGTGTTTCAGTTTTTAGTAGCTAAATTTCCGATCCGAGGCAACTTATATACAGCGAACTATAGGACCCGTACTTCGTGTATCCCACACATTAACTTACGATGCAATACAATAGTAACTATACACCAGAGCGATCAATGTCTCAACCCTAGTATACTCCGCCCGGAAATTTAACACAAACAAATAAATTAATTCTCGTTAATTTCAATCTAGATACCTGCTCCCTTGAGTAAATAAAAAAATACCTCCTATTATGGTCATAAAACTAGACCTAAGTCATTAAAAATACTCCCAACAATTCGAATTATTTATCAAACGTTTTAAATTGTACCAGGATAAATTGTAATTGTAAAAACATATTCGACCTTCGATCAATGCTGACTGGATTCTTCAGTGCAAAACCAATGAACAATCAAAAAATTATCCTTGATAAAATCAAACGATTATTTATCCACTGTTTTGATAAAAAAAATTTACCAGCACATTTTTATCTATTTCTTTTTTTTAAAGTTTAACTAAGCAAGTCTCACTTACGACTAAATTAATCACTTATCAGTCCTTTAATTTTCTTTAAATAAAATTTAAAAAAATTATTACAATAAAAAATTACTGAATAAAAATAAAATTATATTTGCGACGTAAAAAAAAAAATAAAACCGTACAAAAGTGAAAGGACCAGAGGTAAAAACAAATAAAAATAAAATCAAGTAGTTAGCACCGCGATGCGTGGAGACAGACCGGCTAGAAATTTAGAGCCATTTTTACGCTCCACATTAGTATATCAACCTAATTATAACATAAATAAAATGCGGATGTTTTAAAATTGCGGATGTATGTCAGAATATTTTTAAAAAAATGAAAAATAAGAGGACACGTACACATACACTTGTTAAACAGAAGGAGGCACGCGGAATGCAGCGTGCCGGACGAGAGAGGAGAGACTGGCGCGTCCGACGATTGTAACCGTCGTCGAGTGTGCTATGCCCCGAAACGCGAATCGCTGTGTTATGTGTGATACCAGTGGAGGAGCACACAACGCTGAAACAAACTTGTGGATACAAGAAACTGAAAATGTATATAGTGAACTGTATACTGTATACAATATACGTCCATGAGACTGGATGAACCAACACAGATTGAAAGAGAATGAGGAAAAAAAGTGGAGGGTCTGGGGCCGCGTGAAGGTCCCGCCACCGCGGACCTCTCAGATACGTTTAACGTGTATTACGACCAGCTAAAAGCTACTTTAACTCTTTAAGCCTTAAGTACTCCGCAAGTAATCACAATCACGTATCCTTTCGGTACATCATCTATCACTTTCATTACCCTTCAACTTCTTGTACTCTGTTAGTTAATTTTTTTTTTTGTAAATATTGAGACACTTTATCTAGTTCACTGTCTCTGACGTAATCGAGCAGACCACAATCAGTGCCTCCTTGTATTGATAAGTAACTTTCTCTTTAGTACGCTGTCCTATAAGTAAGTATGGTACTTTAGAGGACTACTGTAGGTAATATTCTGCAAGGAGTGTCGAGAAGATTGCTGATGCAATTTTAACGCTGAGTACTTTTACACTACTTTCTTGCAGACACAATGCATTACTAGGTAATGGGTACTCAATTATACCGGCTAGATAGAGACTCGAGATCTAATATGGATGGTATGATAACTATTCATGTAATCGGGTATAGTAATAGGTAGACGTAGACAGACAGACAGACGGCTAACCATTATTATATATTACCGCGCAGTGCGTCGGCCCGGTGACCTTGACATTGACATTCAGCCCGACAACTTGTATTTTGTATTGCTCCCTGATTAGAATTTATCTCAGGGTTTTGGTAATTGTCAGCTAATTTTTATCTTGAGTTTATGGAATTTTATTTTGTTGGTAATGATAGTCTTGCTGAGATTTGATTTGAATTTTTTCAACTAAGAGAGTTCATTTTGTTAAATTTTTAATTAGAAAGCTCACAAGAAAAATGATGTTATTGATGTAAATTAAGTATTAAGAGTTACAAATATTAATTTTAAAAAATTTGCATTAAAAATGGTGGTTAAAATATTTGAAGCTAGTATTTCTTAGGAAATTTTTTTTAGTACACGGGAAAAAAATTGAGGATTTAAGGGAAAAATTTTTGAACCAAGAAAATTATATTGGAGTGTTTTATTAATTTGCTCAAGAATTTTTCTAATTAAATCAAGACGAATAAAGCTTTCCAAAATGATTTTATTCATTTAGGATTTTTTTTTCTTGAATCAAGTTAATTTTATTTAAAGTTTAGTGATGAGCAAATAATGTTTTAAATTTATTTGATAAATAAAACGAAAAAAAAATTTCATAAAGGTTAGTAAAATATTTTTTGTCCATTAATATATTTTTGATAAAGAATTTTGATAAGAATTCAAGAAAAAAAAAATCAAAAAGTTGTCTGTTGAATTCAGTGGAAATATTTTTAAATTTACGACCTAAAATATTTGTTTTTGATGCTAAATTCTAATAAAATAAAAAATAAAAATTTCATGAACAATATAAATATTTTTTTGGTGTAAAAATATTCTGTCAAAAATTAAAATACGTGGAGTAAAAAAATGGTGAGCATTGAATTTTCAAAGCCAGCAAAATGTCATTGTCTTGAATATGAAGAACCAGATATTTTATTCAGATGTTAAGTGTTTTGGTTCAATCTTTATTCGGATATTATTCGTTGTTTTATAAATTTTGTGTTCGTTAGTACTACGGCTAAGTATTATGATATTTTATTTTATTTAAAAATTTTTTGCCCGAGTACTGCGGTTCTCGAGGCGAGGTCTCGGTACCTCAAACCTCATCCTCCAATGATCTCTCGTCATTTACAAGCGACAATACTTGTGAAGGGTATTGTGTGTTTGTTGTCGATCTTAACGAAACAGGTTTTCTCGCGTATAGCAGCAGCCAGTACAACCAATACAACCAAGTTAAGGAAGGTAGCCGGAGCACCTGTACCTCTCTACTATGCTCAGCTAAACGGGAAAAAGAATATCGACTTTTACTCTTTATATTGTTACTCTACTCAGACTCTCCTCAGAGAATAACAACCAAACGTGTAACCAATTTTAGACTCAACTTTACTTTCATTACATTTTGCATTTACACTCATAAACTCAGACTCATACTTATTTAAACTTACAATATTTGTACTTTACAACAAATTATTATACATACTAAAATTTATTTATATTAATTAATAAAAAAATGACAAATATTTTTTAAATTTCAAGAAATTAATTAATAATTTTGTCTTAAAAATTGTCCATTTTTATTGTCTAAAAAATTTTTTTTGAGAATAATAATTATATATTTTGATTTAAATAAAATTTTTTTATGTTGAAAAAATTTTTTCTAGCTTTATAACAATTAAAATCTGTCTGAAAAAATTTTTTTTAGTAAAACTAAAATCAATTTAATAAAAGTATTCCAGTGCAAAATTAAAAAAAAAAATTCCAATGCATAATAAAATCAAATAGTACCCCAATAAAAATATTCCGATTAAAATCAACAATCCTATTCGACTATTGTTACTCACACGCAAGTATGCGATCCAAAAACAAGTAAAAATAAAACAAAAAAAGGGTTCTATTGGAGACATTCATGCTTTGCTGGTTTAGCCAGTAGCCATACATCGAAGCTACGCATACAGATCCCGAAGTCCGACAAGGACAGCTTGAGGCGAGACGTCGAAGAAAGGAGAACTGACTTTCGCTTTCGGAGCGCGACGCAGCCCGCGCCGATCAATAGTACAGCGATGTTCTACCATTTACCATCTACCAAGTTGCCACCGTGTGTGTGAGGGGGTGGAATTATTGAGATGGTCGCCCGCATCGGGAGTTGCTGATATAAACGAGGGTACGACCACCGAGACCCGCGACACCCACGCTGGGGTCACTAACTATTGGGATTGTCTCTGCAACTACGCTCCCGTCCAGACTTATAGATCACCCCTAACCGATAGCGTCGCGCCCCCGCTGAAGGGTTGAGGCCGGAGAAACTGAACCAGAGCGATCACCAACGCCCGAATTATTCACCATCATTTTTTATATTTTATTTTATGTCTATAAATAAATTGTTATTTATGGAAAGACACACAGCTTGTACGCATTGATAATTGCTACGTTAATTAGAGTCTAATGCGCTCCCGCGGATAACCACGTGTTGTATTTACTTACACGTTTATGTTTATCTATATGGATTGTATTTTTCTCGATGCAGGTGGGTGTGAATGTGAATGTGTTGCGCGGATATATAAGTACCATGTAAGCAAGGGCAAATGAATTTACACCTCTGCTTCTAAAGGGATGACAAGGTCGAGAGGATGCCGAGGAATAAACAGAAGCTAAAGACCTCAAATCGCAACAGCTACTGCTGAAGGTCTTGACATTCTCGACGCATTGCACATCAGACATCACACAAATTCATTTAATAGAATTAAACGAGTATTGGGATTTTATTCTGACGTACGTTTTCACGAAATTTATACGTCAAAATTTTTTTATAAATTATTATTATAAATATTTTTTTACCTGATTGCTGACTGACTGTGCAAGTTGCTTCAATGTGTCGGCGTAATTTTTTAAAACAGTTTCGGTGGCCATACAGCTCGCCCGAAATTCGAAAAACATGTCCAATTTATAAAGACACTTCTGGCAAATATTTTTCGGTAGGACATCCTCTTTTGTTGTCTGTGTAATTAATTTATTTTATTAATTTAGTATGATATGTATTTGAATAATCATTGTTATTATTGTTAGTTTAAAAATAAATAACTTACCACAGAGCCAATGAGAGTGCGAATTTTAAAAAGTATTTGCCTTTGCTCGCCTTCTTTGTCAAAAATTTGCAGCTGATGATTTGTTTTTAATGAGCACAGACGACACAATTCGGAGTAATTGAAATTTTCATTCATTGCCATCGTCGGGAAAAGGGAAATTTTATAAACGTAATTAAGGTTGTTAGGTTATAATGTCACCAAAGGAAATTGAAAGGATTTATACTACTTTATTTATATTTACTGTCACTTTAATACCGACGTGATGAGTGTTTACACTTTTTGAATTATCACTGACTTTTTTGGAGTAAATATTGCTGTGAAGAATTACAGGCCGGAGTTATTAGATAATTGTTGTTTATAATGTCAAAAGCACACATTAATACGAGTGCTCAATGCCGGAAGGAGTTAGCAGTCGCCATTTTTGAGACCCTTTGCAACCCTATTCAACATATATTCCATGCTCGTGCTCGGTGGGCTTCAGAAACCCGACATTTTTAGTGTAGTTTTGCATTAAGGACTCACTGCGGAAGAAATTCAAAACTGCTCGAGAGTTTCTATTGGTCAATGAAAAAGATCTTGAGCAGATGGTCATGGGTCGACTGTTGGTAAGCAGGTAGCTGCATTATCGGCGAGCGAAAGAGTGGGCTTTCAATCCGAAAGTAAGTGCTGCTATGCGACGCATAGAAGTGCCCTGATAGCCATCCAATTGTAAAAGTTAACGTTAAGTTGCAGTCCAACTTTTATACAATCTAGGGCCGAAATTTAACTTTAACTTTTATCAAAATGTTTTAGTAAAAGTCTTAATGTGAAGTTTTAGTGAAGTTGGACAAAATGAATGAAAACACTCATTGATATGGCAGTTTATTAGAATTTGTCTCTTTTTTACATCGGTAGGTAATTTATCGGTAAAAAAACGAAGCACAGTAAAAATTTTTAACTACTGCCGTGACAAAAAAATTAATATTTTATTGTTAAACCGGGGATTCGAACCCGAATCGCCTGATTCCTAGCCAAGCCCACTATCAGACGAGCTATCTTCGATTCATACCATCATCGCGTTTTCAGTCACTTATATCTGACACAATATTTTTATAATGTAAAAAATGTAAAATTGTATTTGCAATTATGAATATAAAGTGAGTGAATTGAATTAATTTAATAGTTTTTTGTTTTTAGCTATGACATTGAAGTTAGCAATCACTTGACTATTTTGTAATTTTTTTTTAACAAATAAATTAATTCCAAAAAATTATTTATAAAAAATTACATTTTTTATTATTATAAATTTGTACATGTCAATTTTTTTTTCTAATTATTTTTTACCATAATTTACTTGTTAAAAAAAATTCTTAAAATTATCAAATGTCAGCTAAATTAATTTTCATTATTTGCTTCAAAAATGTATAAAATAAGTGTTTCAATAATTTATTAATAAAAATAAATATCTGAAATTATGTGATGTTTAATTTTCTTGAATATAGAAATATTCTGAAATCTTTGATAAATTTATTTACAAAGCATTAAAATTTTTTTTATCGTCTTATTATTTTTCATTAATTTTTTATAAGAATTCTTACTAAAAATAAGAAATCACTTAAGTGATTGACAATTAACCTGCTGCAAAAAACTTTTTTAAATCATGGTTTGCTAATCAACTTGAAGGTCCGAATAAATATAACTTAAAGTAACATTAATTTTTCTATGAATTTTATAGTAATTTTTTTTTTAAATATCATTCTAACTTAACAATAACTTTTTTATAGATAAAAATGTATGAAAAGTAAATTAGCCGACATCTGAAAATTTTTATAATTATTTTTATTAAAAAAATTGTTACTATAAAATAAAAAAAAAAATTTCACATGTAGGAAATTTGAAAAATTATGAATGCAATTTTTTTAAATTATTTTTTTACTTGCAATTTGATTGTTAAAAAAAATAGAAAAATTTTTAAACGTCGGCTAACATTAGTATCATATTAAAAGTTGGTTAAAACTTGGATTGAAATTGCGGCAGTAGATTAACGTCAAGTTACTATACAACTTCAACACAAATTGTATATAACTTTTACTGTACAAGTTTTGGAGTGAACTTAACGTTAACTTTGACTAAACTTGCTATACTACAAGTATTTTTATAGTAAGTGTGGCTATCAGGGTGATAACTGCTGTACCAAAAATATAATTTCAGTTATTGTAGAAATTATTATTATATTAAGACGGTAATAAAGATTTTTATTTCTTATCAATGCTGAATTTTTAACCAGGCATGGTAAAAATTAGACAGCCATCGCTGATGGTAACTTGTACAAAATCTAGGATCGGAATTTTCAGTCAATTCGAGGAAAAAAAGGTTGTCGTAAAGTTGGCTGCAATTTTAAAACAACTTGACTACAAAAAAAAAAATAGATAAGACACGTTATTGAAGTGAACTTGTAGAAAAGTTGTACTACATTTTGTACTTCAATTTTTTCTTCAATTTGTATTAAATTATCGGACCGTCTACAAATGTTGCTCACTAAAAGACTCATCGTAAACTTGGCGAATTGACTCAACACTACAGATTTTTTAATTTCAATTTTTAATAAAGATTTTTCAATATATATTTTACTTTTGATTATGGCAATTAATCATTTTTTCAATTATACTGCGAAATTATTGAAAGTAATACTTATTTTAATTACTTGAGATAACTGAAAAATTACAAATCAACTAGAAAAATTTTTTTGAATGGATTAATGCTTATTTCTTTAACTGATAAAATTTAAAATCATAACTCACAAGCCAGAATAACAAAAGTAAAGATAGTAAACCAAAAAACACTTTAATTCACCGCAGTTTCATTTACCGCTGTGTCATTTTCTTAAACGGTTCGCGAGGGCTGGAAGCATCACTTGTAAACGAGTCAGATGGCAAAAAAGTGGTAAACTACACCAGTAATAAAACAAAAAGAAAAAAAATAACCAAAAAGTATAAAGAAAGATTTTAGGTTAATCACATGGCAGTCCTCGCACTCATAGAGAAAGATATAGAGCAATAAAGTGTTAGGGTTGATGGAGTTGCCTAGTCGTTGAGCTCATATTTATAGATCTTTTTATGCCCAAGGATGTAATAATTTATACCAGGAATTTCTCTCAGGCACACACTTTCCTTACTCTGACTCACTTTTCGTGGCAACTGGTTCGTTCTCATTTGAATGATTTTCAACATCGCGAGGGGAGCCGCGGCAGTTTTTCTCAGTGATTGTCGAGTAAAGGAGCAAAAAAATGTAAATAAAAGAAAGGGTCGCCAATGTTCTCTTTTTCTCTCTTCCTAATACATAATATAACACAGTGCTCACTTTTAGCGGCCATGCGTGTATTTATATGCGTGCGTGCACGCATCTCACTTTACTTGCTTTAATAATTTTTTATCGTCGGCTATAACTCACCGCGAGGGTATAAACAATAAACTTTTACCATCAACTCAGTTAAATTATTTTATATAGAACACAAAATACGAATTTTTGTGTAAATAATGGAGTAAATAAAAATATAGCGAATAAAAAATATTTTAGATCAAGAATGTGATTAAAAAGGGGGGTTTTAGTAATAATTGTCGGTAATTTTAGTTATAATTAAGTGAAATAAGCTCGTTTTTTTATTTTTCTATAGTTATGAATTTTTTAATCTCAAAATTAATGTTTGGCTTGCTATGCAGCTAAATGTGTAATTTTAACGAATAATATTTCTCATAAATATGACAAGAGGACCTTGTCGTGATATTAATACTATAATATCAAATATCACAACTCGAATATGCGTATACGAGTTTTCTCGAGTTAAATAAAGGCTCGACAAAATTAAACGAGCTACGTGTCACTATTTTCAGCAATTTCAATGGTTTATTTCAAGCAAACCCATAAAATTAATATAAATTATTTTACTTGTTTTGTATCAAAATATTTTAATTAAGATTTTGGAATGATAATAATAAATATAAGGGAGTATTAATTAAAGCGACGAGTTCAACGGGTCACTGATAAATTTTATTAATATTTTTAACGACATCAATTAATTTAAAAAAGTTTGTTGTTGGTATATCAAAGGGAAATTCTAACTTATAAAAGCCGCCGGGTGTAGAGGTGTGTGAAACGCTTTTAAAACTCAAGAAAAAGTGAGTAGATTGCGAATAAAAAGTAGAGGAGAAAAGAATGGGTAAAAAAAATTGTCCAATTAACGAGAAGGGACCCACCCGGGTAAGAGAAAATTGCGGCGTAACTGATGTAAAGGACACACCTGATAATTCTTCTCTCTCGCGCCCTCGGGCGTCTAGTCCTTGGCGAAACGGCTGAGCCATCCTTTGATCCTGTAATTGGAGGTGTCCTCGACCAATGAGGATTACGCGGCAAGACAAGACTCGTGGCTGTCCGAGATATGTAATCTGAACCCACTTTTACACCTTTCTTTTTTTTTTCTTCATCTAATTTGCAATTTTATTTCATAATCTCCGTGATATTATTAATAATTATTATGAAAATTGTCAAGAAAGTATCTCATAAAAAAATTTTACCTTATTCATTTAACAATGGACGTTAAAATTATATTGATAAGAACTTTTGTTGAATAAAACTTTTTCAATTTCACGTTTATTGATATAACTTGGTCGGCCAGTTGAAAATACGCTCTATACACGCGGTTAGATTTTATATTTATATGACTTTCTTTATACTCAATATATCTATATATCTATACTTGCGATATAATGATAATAAAAATAATAATGATAATATGTAGAAAGAATAAGAGACATGAGAATTCGTTCAATTCAACCGATAGTGGCGGAACATTCGAGAAAAATCTTTTTACAGTGCACTTGGCGACCAATTTATCGTTAAAGAGAGGACACTTTACTGCAGGATCTAAAAAATAAGTTTACTATGTATAGTAACGAGGGGAAAGTAGAACAGAGGGGCAAAAGGTACACAGAAAAGTAACCTAGGGGTTGAAATGTGTGTTTTTTTTTTCTCGATTTTTATTTTTATTTTATACATCAGAAATAATGGAAGACAGACCACCCAATGGTTCGACAGAGACGAGGATGACTTCCTGCGGGACGTAGAGACGTATAATGGCTAATAGGAGAAACGGTATCGTAAAATCA